GTTATCACCAGACGTGACCGTTGAGGACAGCGGTGACCAAGCTGCCTGCTCTGCAGGCCGTGATGTGTGAGATGAGGCTGAATACAAGTCGAAGCAGTTTCACCTTGGTTTGAGTAATGTAGGAAGTAGTGTCTAATGCATATATCGTAGCAGGATAACAACCAGAATAGCAGGAGGTAGATTGGCATTTAGCACAGAATTTATTTAATTCTACAATCAATGTTTGTGGTAACAATGGGTCATATATGTAATGTTGTCGAACGTGTATTTTGATCACCCAATTCTGCATGGTACTCTCAAAGCTTTTATTGAACTGTTTTTTGTATTTTCAATTAGAAGTAAGTCTAAACAACTAGGGCCGTGAGAAAAAACACACGTATATGCAGGTCATGACAAATATTACTCTGGTACACGAGTGATGACTGACTCACAAGTGGAAGCAGCAGCCCTTTCGAGCGGCTGCTTGTTGAAATTTACCCCTGTACTTGAGGTGAGCATTGTTTCAACCATCCTCTCCCTCTCCTGCTGACTTCTACAGAGCTTCCGCTAGTGTGGTCCCCTGTGACATCATGGCTGAACAATCTGTTGTCCTCCACGCGCAGTTGGAGCTCCATTAAATGCAAAGCCAATGCAAACTGCCGAGGCTGGCCACCCTCATTAAGAGGACACCAAGCAGAGGACGGGCAGAGAATCCCAGCCACTTTAGGAAGCGTAATGAATTGGTGCACGCCCCCTCACTGTGAAAGTGAACACACAATGGGTAACAGGATGAGTGCTGGCTTGGGCAGTAACACTGTTTGCCAGTCGAAATGAAAGGTACACAATTGATGTGTGGCATCATCATGGGGAGGTGGGTCTCTGACACTTTGACACAACGTGGCCCACAATGTGGTGATGGCACTGATCTCCGTAAACCTGGTCGCTTGACTTCACACTAAACACATTGTTTTGTTTCGTAGGTGTTTTCTTGGAAGCTGGGGTGTTGGGGCTGACCAGGGCCTAAACCAGATGCACTTATCTGGAACAAATAAGTCAGGGCTGAATCTAACAAGCACTCTACAGAACAGTGCATCGAGTTTCTCTGGTCTACATGATGGCTCAGCCCCCCCTTCGTAAAGGCAATTTATCAAAGATCTTGATGGAAAGAAAAAAAGGAAAAAGAAATCTCCTGAGAAGTACTTAACCACAAACACGGTGTTTCCTGTTGCTGGGGCTACAGTGGAAAAAGGGAGGCCTGTTCTGTATCAAACCTGAATTCCACTGGAATTTCCCCCTATTTAAAACGGTATCTTCTTTATGGACATAGGAAAGAACACAATGATTTCAGACCATTTTAATTAAGTCCTTAGGGATAAATGCTACTAATTTATTTTTCAACCTGTCCATGACATTGAATTTATTTGAAACTGCTGCACGCTGCATTCATTGGAGGCGATTGAGCTTTAAATTAAATAGCAGAAAAATCTCAAGGGACAACTGCCGACACACTGTGATGAAGTGGTTATCGCACGATTTAAGTGAACAGTAAATCTATTTCTGGAGATGCTGAAGAAAGGTAGAACTGCTTTCAGGTAAAAATTACAATGATGTTTAAAAGAGCTGGCAGTGAGAAAAGTAACAAAATATATTCTACAAAAAAAATAAAAAATAGTATGGCTGGAAATGAAACACTAGAAGCAGTAGAAACATTGTCTTAGCAGATGACTGGAGGCTATATGGCATAAACAAATGGACTTAAAGCATACAAGTACGGAATCACTCATACAGGAATATATAATTAAAACAAGTGGTTCAAGGAGTCTATAAAACACAGTTAGACATTACATTTGATGAAAGCTTTAGGTGTAATCAGGTCTGGATCTATTAATACCACTTTACCATCATTACATCCAGTCAAAACAATGAAAGGCTTTTGCCATGAAATATCAGCCACGAATTTAGTTCATAAGAAACAAATCCAAGTCACAAGGTCAAATGTGTACGGTTAAGCATCACTCCTTGAGGAGTATGAAACAACAAGAAACTCACCCGATGAATTTTGTTGCAACAAAGTCTGAATGCTTAACCTTGGTAATGGTGCTACAGTATAATAAGAGGGCATCCAGAGCCTCCACACCTCCTTGAAAAGCACATATTGCAGCAAAGATCATTTTTCTCTTTGGGTGAGAACACTGAAGGCACATACCCTGGGCTTTTTTCTTAGCTTTCATGGTTCACCTCCGTTTGGATTTTGTGTCCATCAGCCAAACTCTTAAGCAAAACCAGGGCGGTGATAAAGCTGATCAAACGTACTATGTTACTTGCCTGGAATATGCCTATTGATGTATTATTTCCCATACAGTGAGGTAAAATAGTTGTAGATAACATGTCTAAATGCCTGACGCCTAGCAACGCTATTCCATGCAATGACTATATTTACAACCTGCTTTTAAGCGGGGTTCATGTTGAACATCATCTCAATGGCTTATTCATCTGGTTTCCTGCCTGCTGGTCTAACATCTGTCACTACCGTGAGACATGAATGAAAAGCATTTATCTTTAATGTTATTGGGTAATAACGATTCCAGGGGTTCAAGTGAGACCAAAATGTTTGCACACGGAAGGCTGATGCATCAAAGCCCTGATGTGGCTGAGTTGATCATCAATTATACATTTCTTAACCTTCCTCTTGTGTTAGGGTCGGCACCGACCAGTTTTAGATTTTAAAAGCATAAAAGAACCACTTGAATTGGTTTTTATGCATCAAGGCTTTTTGACTTTGTCAGGAACCTCTATTTCAACAAAAGAAAAAAGAAAAATTTTCACTAAATTATAAAATGCTCTTTTTGAAATTGTGCCCTTTGTGTTGTTAGGGTCGGTTTCGACCCAGTCATAAAAATAAGATTATAAAGCAATAATTTAGAGCTAAAACTGAAATAAAAATTGCACTGTTGGCCAACACATTGACAACCAGCTCCTCTCCCAATCATTTCAGCTTTAGGGGATTCTCATTTGGCCTCTTTTTCCAATATACCTGCACAAAAACAAAACAAACAAAAACGGCCATGGGCAGACATGTGTGGTCAATTCAGTATAGAGTTGGTTATGCCATTTTCACTAAAAAGAGTTATCATTGCCATGACAAACCTTGAAGGACAAAAAGTCCATGGCGGCATGTGGAAAGACATTGATGAGTAATTCCTGGATGCTTACATTGGTATTCTTCTTATTGCTGGAGTGGACAGGAGTTCTCAGATTTGACAACAGAGATACCAGAGCAAGATCCAACAAACTTGCCCCCATCAGGGATGTCTGGGACAGATGGGTGCAGCTCCTTCCACTGATTCCACTCCAACCCAGGGCCACAGGTGACAGTGGATGAACGTCTTGTCCTTTTCCGAGGAAAATGCCCCTTTGGACAATACATACCCAGTCAGCCAGGGAAGTACGCCATAAAAAAATCTGGGCAGCCTGCAAAAACCACTATGCCTGGAATCTACAGATTTACACAGGCAAAAGTTACGAGCTTCCTCAAGTTTGCTTTTACAGACACCACCACTGTCTCATATTGTCCAAAAAAACGAAACATGATGCTTATGTCTACTCTTCACAAAGATGCAGCTGTGCCATCAGGAATTGACAAAAAGCCCACAATTATCCTTGACTATAACAAAAAAAGTAGGAGTGGACAACCTGAACAAGCTGACTGCCACCTACACTTGCCAGCAAATGAGCAGGAGATGGTCAATGGTTGTATTTTACAACATCCTTGATGGATCTGCAAGTAATGCATTTGTGTTGTGGACCCACATCCACCAAGGGTGGAACTCAACCAAAAAAATCAAGTGGAGAACCCCTTTTCTTGAAGTAAATACATATGGGTCGAAATTGACCCGTAACACCATAGATGTTACAATAGTTAATAATATTAAAATAAAAAATAATCAAAACAAATTTATTTGAGAGATGTGTTCTAATACCCCTCAAAAATAGTCAGGTAACACAACAACCTTTAATTTATGTATATGATTCTCTTGAGGTTAATTTTACATTTTAAAATTGAAATCGAAGGGTATACTGACAAAGAAAAGGCCCAGAGGCTCACACCAAAAACATTAAAACAAATATTTTCATGGATAAGGAAGCCTAACAAGATAACCAAGAGATGAGAAACAAATTGGATGATAGATAATTGTTTCTAGTGTATTTTACAGCTGATTTAAGACACGGGTCAAAACCGATCTGTTAACAGATTAAAGGGATGGTAACAGAAAGCTAACACAAGAGGAAGGTTAAATCACATTAATGAAACTGTTCACTAGCCATTGCGAAAATACTCATGTTAATGTACATGAGTACCAATCATACAGTTAAACCCACCCATCTTGATCCCACAGTCACAATCCATGTGTGCTGGGTGTAGTTTATTTTATATTGGCATTGCTGTTCAACTAGTTTAACTAACAAAGAGGCATTTGTTGCCGGAATCTAACCTGTGATGATGCGTTATATGTCATGCGAGTCCTATGAACTATTATCACATATTTTCAGCAATAACTTTTCAGAAAGATTTTTGGCAGATATAATTAAAAACAAAATAACCGTGAAGGTATTTTGGTTGGGAGCTGGTTTTGTCTGATGCTGAAACAGGCTCTTTTGTTCAACAACACTCAACTCAACAACTCCCTATCAATTTAAATTTACATGTTGAATTTGACTTTTGCCCAGCTATTCATAAGTTTGTGAAAGTTTTCTTGTATTACTTTGATTTGATACATGCTTATCCCACTTGCACTAGCCTATATTCAACCACTTGGTCTCAGACACATTAAAAGTGAATTATTCATAAGTTTGATTAAACCCCCACCCAATAACTTATCAAGATAAACAAGATAAATATTGCAACGATAAACTTTAAAGAACAACCAATGTCTGAACCCCATACTTTCAACCCTTATTAATCATATTGTAGATTGAATATTTCCAGTCTACCATCAACACACAGACATAAACCAACTTACCATTTCCAGAGATGCCATTATCCACCTCTCCTTGTTTGACGTTGAGAGCTGCGTTAAGTTGAAAATAAAGTCCCACGTATTGTAAAATCCGTATCATCACTCCAAATGCTCCCATTGCTTCAGTTGGTGTCTCAAGCAGTTGTATGACAATCGTTACGTTAGCTGAGGAGCATCGGTAAAATATCCTCGCCGGCGCTGAGCAGCCGTCACAGACATACAGCTCGAGATGCTGCAGCTGCTCCACTCTGTGGGAGGAGATGATGAGTCCAGTGGAGGCGGAGGGAGAAGAAGCGTGAAGGCAGGTGCAGCGGCTCCCTCTCCAGGGTCAATTAGGCGGAGTGATCTTACTGAGCTGCAGTCTTTCAATCTGTTTCTTTTCAATGCTGCAATTCTTTTTTAATATGACTAATACTATTGAAATAGGCTTTATATTGAGCTCTTTGTTTTTACCCTGGGGTTTGTGTGTGTGTACAAACTTAGTGTGCGCTGGTTCCTGACAAAAATTCAATGGGATTTTTACACTGGATTTGGAAGTATTGCAGCTAAGTATAACAATTGAACAGTGCTTTAATGAATTCACAATAGGCTATGGAGACTACATGGTCACACGGTGGCAAAGGTGGCTTAGATGAGGTGATGACAATTTGCTGTCTTACTTGTTTACACCTGCCTTGACATTTCAAAGCTTCAAAATGAAACACACAGGCATCTTCTGACTTGTTTTATGTTTCAGACCACAGTCCACTTGTAACTACATACCTTATTTCAGACATCTAATGAACTGATTAAAAGAACAATTGACTTTGAGACAAGTTCACCGCAAGCAATGGGCTAACGTTTTCCCTTGTTTTACTCATTCCTGCACTACTATATTCCTGTCGGCTTCTCTTTCCGCCTGTGTCCAGAAACAGTTGCTTGGCAACCGGCGGAGACTCCGGGGACTCACTACCCCTGGCCAAGAAACAGTCTATAAACTACTATAATACACATAATTGTTATCCTGTTTTTGTATAGTGCAAATCAATCCGCTTCAGGGGTGCTGGTTGGCAATATAAAAATGACTGTCTAATGCAGTAACCGCTCTACATCGTCAGTACCAAAGGATACCTCTACCGGCATAATTATCCTACACTGTTATAATTATATAACAGTGTAGTTAACCGTGCTGTGAATGTCATGGTGCCTCCTATGGGCCTCCTATGGGCCGTTAATGCATCTTATATTTTGACTTGTCAAAGCAAGACTCTCAATTGGGGAATTTCAAACATTAGCGATGTCTATTTTCCAATTAGATGACCCTAAGGGAACATTGGATGGAATGCATCCATTATTGTTGTGAACACGCTTTTCCTGCTTTTACAAGTCAAAATGCCTGCCTTGAAAACAGTTTTTTGACATATACAATAGGCAACCTCCTAACTCTGAGCAAGATGGAGAACAATAATTACATGGTTATCCATGTTGAGGTTTACAGAATAATGCAGTGTGGTACAACTTTGACCTGATGCCACAATAGATATGGGTCTTTTGAGCAGTACAGGGCTGGCAGTACAAACATGGTCCAGGCTCAATGAAAAGACAAGCGGCCTTTAGCCGGTCTTCGTTCTTTCCCAGTTTCCCAGCCAGAGGATTCACACAATAGCTGAAGGACGATGCTCTTAAATTAGACCCATGAAGACAATGAGAACATTCTCTGCCATCTACTTGCCTCTGTAGAATCAAGTGGAAACACAGGCCTATATTTGGCCCAAATTACATCTCTCCAGCTGGACATTTCATGCCTTTCCCCTACATTTATACAAACGGTGCTGATTTACTTAACTCAGGAATCAGGAAACATTTATTACCAAAATATGCCAAACATACAAGGAATTTGTCTTGGCGGTTGGTGCGCGACAGTAGACAATGTGACAATAGACAAGACAGCAGTGCACAAGTAATAAAATGAAGTAAAATGAAATGCTAATGCAATGGGTTAGTAGAATAAGGCTATGGGTTAGTATAAAACAAGGGAATAAAGTAAAAAATGTTAAATATTAAAAAAGTTAAAAAAAAGATATATTAAGCATAAAGTGCACCAACGAACAAGTAACAAAGTGACGAGTGACGACAAAGTGATGAATTACAGCTAAAGTGACATGTGCAGTGTGAAGGGGAGTGACCGGTGGAATGTTATAGTCAGTCAGTGGGGGACCGGGCTCTGTTGATGAGCCCGACTGCCGATGGGAAGAAACTGTTCGTGTGGCGGGAGGTCTTAGTCCTGATGGACCTCAGGCACCTGCCAGACGGAAGGGGCACAAACAGTTCTTGTCCGGGGTGAGAGGGGTCGGCCACGATCTATTTAGCTCGCTTCAGAGACCTGGAAGTGAGCAAGTCCTGCAGGGACGGCAGATTGCAGTCGATTACCCTCTCTGCAGAGCGGATGACCTGCTGCAGCCTGCCCTTGTCCTTGGCTGTGGCTGCAGCGTACCAGACGGTGATGGAGGAGCAGAGGATGGACTCGATGATGGCCGTGTAGAAGTGGATCATCATCGTCTTTGGCAGGTTGAATTTCTTCAGCTGCCTCAGGAAGAACAACCTCTGCTGAGCCTTTTTTGAGATGGAGCTGATGTTCAGCTCCCACTTGAGGTCCTGGGTGATGATGGAGCCCAGGAAACGGAAGGAATCCACAATAGTGACGGGGGACTCACACAGGGTGATGGGGGAGGGTGGGGCTCTGTTCCGCCGGAAATCCAAAACCATCTCCACTGTCTTTAGAGCGTTGAGCTCCAGGTTGTTCTGACTGCACCAGGACACCAGATGGTCAGACTCCCATCTGTAGGCGGACTCATCCCCACCAGAGATCAGTCCAATGAGGGTGGTGTCATCCGCAAACTTCAGGAGCTTGACGGACTGGTGACTGGAGGAGCAGCTGTTGGTGTACAGGGAGAAGAGCAGAGGGGAAAGAACGCAGCCTTGGGGGGAACCGGTGCTGATGGTCCGAGAGGCTGAGACATGTTTCCCCAGCTTCACGTGCTGCTTCCTGTCAGACAGGAAGTCTGTGATCCACTTGCAGGTGGAGTCGGCACGTGCAGCTGGGAGAGTTTGTCCTGCAGCAGAGACGGGATGATGGTGTTGAAGGCAGAGCTGAAGTCCACAAACAGGATCCTGGCGTAGGTTCCTGGGGAGTCCAGATGCTGGAGGATGTAGTGGAGGGCCATGTTGACAGCATCGTCCACAGACCTGTTGGCTCTGTAGGCGAACTGCAGGGGGTCCAGGAGGGGGTCGGTGAGGGACTTCAGGTGGGTCAGGACTAGCAGTTCAAAAGACTTCATGACTACAGAGGTCAGGGCGACGGGCCTGTAGTCATTGAGTCCTGTGATCCTGGGCTTCTTGGGAACAGGGATGATGGTGGAGGCCTTGAAGCAGGCTGGTACGTGGCATGTCTCCAGGGAGGTGTTGAAGATGTCAGTGAACACCGGAGACAGCTGGTCAGCACAATGCTTCAGGGCGTGAGGGGAGACGGAGTCCGGACCGGCTGCCTTACGGGGATTTTGTCTTTTAAAGAGCCGGTTAACGTCTCTCCAGAATAGAGAGGGTCGTTGCTGATGGGGGAGGGGAAGGTGATATAGATGAAGAGGCGTGAGCACCTGATGGGCTGGTGGAGGGAGGGGAGGGGGACTGCAGCAGGTTGGTGGAGCTGTGGGGGATGGGATCAGGACATTGTCTTTCGAATCTGCAGTAGAACTCATTAAGCTCGTCTGCCAGGCGGAGGTCATTCATGGAGTGGGGGGTTTTTGGCTTGTAGTTAGTGAGGTGTTTGAGGCCTCTCCAAACCGAAGCAGAGTCACTTGCTGAGAACTGTTGTTGGAGTTTCTCAGAGTACAGTCGTTTAGCATCTCTCACCACCTTGCTAAACTTGTATTTTGCCTCTGTGTACAAGTCTTTGTCCCCACTCCTAAATGCCTGATCCTTCTGCAGGCGTAGTGTTCTGAGTCCCGCTGTGAACCAGGGTTTGTCGTTGTTGTAACTCACCCTGGTGCATGATGGTATACAGCTGTCCTCACAGAAGCAGGAAGTAGGAAGTTACAGCCTCTGTGAACTCATCCAGACTGTCAGTAGCAGTCCTGAAAACATCCCAGTCTGTGCAGTCAAAGCACGCCCGAAGATCCTCCAGCGCCTCACTGGTCCACTTCTTGAATTCCCTCACCACAGGTTTGCAGAGCTTTAGTTTCTGCCTGTATGCAGGAATCAGATGGACCATGACGTGGTCAGAGTGTCCCAGTGCAGCACGAGGGACGGCGTGATAAGCCCTGCTTACTGTGGTGTAACAGTGATCCAGCGTGTTCTCCTCTCTGGTGGGGCATTTAATAAACTGTCTGTATTTAGGAAGTCCATGGGTGAGATTTCCTTTGTTAAAGTCCCCGAGGACAATAACTAAAGAGTCCGGGTTGGTCCGCTCCACACGCCGTATCTGGTCGGCGAGTGTTCGCTGTGCCTCGTGCACGTTGCCCGCCGGCGGCATGTAAACACCGACCAGGATGAATGAAGCGAACTCACAGGGGGAATAAAAGGGTTTGCAGTTGATGAAAAAAGTTTCCAGATCAGGAGAACAGTGTCACACTCACCTGCCAGCTCAGTTTTCCACACCTGCCCCGCATCCACAATCAGTCACTCTCCTGCCTTCCACACCTGCTTCGCATTCACAATCAGCCCCGCTACATAAGCACTGCACACCCAGCCTGTCATTGCCAGATTGATCTTCGCGTCATGCAAGTCTCTCCAGCACTCTACCTTGGACTGACCTCCCGGTTTCGACCCTGCCTGTTCCCGACCCGTTCGTCTGTCTCCGCCCCGGTGAGCACCTCAGCCTTCTGTCCCCGACCACGAGTCCTGCCTGAGCGCCTCAGGTTTCTGTTGCCTGCTCCTTGGACTGCCCGGCGCTTCTGCCCCTGTGCTCCGGATCCCCGACCGGCCCAGCGATCGCACCAGCTGTCTCCCGGCATCTCCTCCCCGATCCTGAGGACCGAACTCTGCTCTGCCTCTCATTGTGCCCGAACGCCTACTGTGAGGCCGTGTTTAATAAAAGCGTTAACCAAACACTCCGTGCCGTTGTGCTGCATTTGGCTCCGCCACACGTCCGTGTCAAACAGTGTTTTAGGATCACAAGTGGCTCAAATAACTAAGATACGGACAGATTTTTAATCTGATACAAAACACAATCCCGCTGTTTCAGACAATGTAATATACATGGTAAAGAAATAAGACGATACTCTATTTCTCTATTTACTAGGAGCGGTATAATACCCTCTTATTTGCTATGGTCCCTGCATAGGCGTTTGTTTTTCTTGAGTGTGTAATTCATTAAAGGGAAGAGAGACGTTCATCCTG